GCAGATGGCATTTTGATTTTTTGTGATGGGGAAGTTAGGAATGGAGTGGAAAATCTTAAGTTTCTGGTGAGTTTCTTTGAAGGAATGTTTAACCTAAAGATCAATTTGTATAGTGCAGTGGTTGGTTTAAATATCGGGGATGAGGAGCTGGGCTCATTTGCAGAGATGCTAGGGTGTGACCTTCAAATTATTTAGGATTGCACCCTGGTGGCAATTTAAGGTCTATAAGCATCTGGACTCTAGTTGTTGAGAGACTGGAGGAAAGATTAGCTGGGTGGAAAGGGAAGTAAATTTCTCTAGGAGGAAGAATCACTCTGATAAAATCAACTTTGGCCAACCTCCCTATCTACTACATGTCTGTCTTTAGGATGCCTCAAGCAGTTGTGGTAAGGGTGGAAAAGTTAACGAGAGACTTTCTGTGGGAACTGGGAGATAGTAAAAAGGATCTGGTGAAATGGGAAAAGGTGGTTAAAAGGAAAGAGGAGGGGGGTTGGGTATAGGTAATATCAGTAGGAAAAACCTCGCTCTTCTTAGTAAGTGGTTGTGGCGTTTCCCCTCTAGAGAATGACAGATTGTGACATAAAGTGGTCTCAAGTATTCATGGGATGGGTATGAATGGATGGGATGCTGGCATTCTGCAAAGAGCTAACCTTTCTACATTGTGGAAAGCTATTCATGGTATATTGCCCCAATTCCTTGAGAATATTAAGTATGATTTGGCTTCTGGTAATAGGATAAGATTTTGGGAAGATGTGTGGGTTGGGGATGTTCCCTTGAAAGATCTGTTGCCTTTGTTGTTTGCTCTCTCTAACCTAACGCTATGTAATGAAGGGAAAAATGCAGGGAAACCTATACACGATTTGTTAAGGTTTCCCTTCCTTTCCTTTCTTTTCCCTACTTTTTCCTTCAAACCAAACATAGCCTAAAGGAGAAACATGTGTCTGATTTCTTTGAGTTTCCCTCCTCCTCTCATGGGGGGGGGGGTGGAATTTGGGGTTTGTGAGAAACCTTCGAGAGTCTGAAGTTCCTTCTGTTTCAATCCTTTTAAATATTTTGGATGGCCTTGTCCTTGATGGGTTAGGGGAAGATAGTAGGGTGTGGTCTCTCAATCCCTCTGGGTCTTTTAATTGTAAATCCTTTTTTCTGCTCATGTCCACCCCCATTCCCCTTTCCTTTCCTGTGAAAGAAATTTGGAATGCCCCCATCCCCCCAAAAGTTAGTGCCCTTTGTTGGGAAATTTATCTTGGGTGCATCAACACTTGCAATATGCTACAAAAGAAAAAAAAAATATGCTTTCCATCTTTTGTATGGTGAATGGTGGGAATGCTTTCCATCTTTAAATTTCATGTCCCTTTGCTTGTATTTGGGAATGGGTTTGCTCTCTTTTTGGTTGCAGGTGGATCCCCTCTGATAGCTTGGAAGGTCTCTTTAGTCCCTCTTTTCTGTGGTGCACGACAAGAAGAGGCAGAATCCTTTGGAAGTCTGCAAGGTCTGCGGTGGTGTGGTCAGTTTGGGAGGGAAAGGAACCTAAGGATCTTTGAAGAGAGAGAAAGAAATAAGGAGGCACTAGTGGAGATTGCTACAGTAAGAGCTGCGCATTGGGTGAAAACTCTAAAAGCTTTATCGGACTTCTCTATGGATGACTTTTTCCAGAACTGGAGGTCTAGTGCCCTATCCTCCTCTAGGAAACAAAAGGTCTCGGAGACCTGGAGTCCCCCAAGTGGAGGGTGGATGAAGCTGAATTTTGATGGAAGGAGCTGTGCTGCTGTGGTAATTTAGGGCTTTCCGGTATTGGTGGAGTGTCCAGAGATGAGACTGGGAATATATGTGGCTTGTATTCAGGTCCTATTGATCAAGGTGATTCAGTTAGATCTGAATTCTTGGCATTGTTGGGGTGCAAAAAGCCAAGGATATGGGAATAACTAGGCTGATTCTTGAAGGGGACTCTAAAATTGTTGTTGGATGGTTGAAAAAAGGAGAAGGGGTTCAATGGAAATTCAGAAATGACCTCAGAAGATTCAAGATAATCTCAAGAGACACGCAAATCCATATTTAATGGGTTAGGAGGTCTGCGAATGGGTTGGCTAAGCAAGGAACTCATCGACAGCAGTTGTTTTGGACTCAATGTTAATTGTGTGTGGGTCTTTGGCCTAACAACTTCTTGTTGTACTTTTTTGTTCCTTGATCCTAATAAAATTTTCCTGAGTTTCCAATAAAAAAAAAGATATCTTAGTCATTGGAGTGGGACTGCAGACTACCATGTGGGTGTATATTAGGATACACATTGATTTGATCTTGTTGAGTTGATTCACTGAAAGATTTGTCATTTTTAGTTGCATGATTCACTCAGATGCAAAGTCTTTATGACCTTGTACTTGAGGAGTTCTCAGGTTATAGATTCATGATCAATTACTTTGATATATCATAGGTGAGGTTACTAAGGGATGTGGCTGAAGTACTCCATATGTTGGGTGGTTGAGAGTGGGTTTTGGGAATGCCCAGCAAAGGATCTACACCCTCAGTCCCTCAGAAAAGAAGTGTCAATGTTAAGAAGTTGAGTGAATTAGGACTCTGGCAGATGAACCCATAGTGAGACTTGTACTCCTATATAAGTTCTAGTATAACCCCAGGATGAGTATCAGAACTTGGAGGACTCCTAGTTGAATTGGGACTCTTAGGGAGGAATCCTAGTTGCACTAAGACTCCAGTATTCTGGTTAGATAACTTTGCAACGAATATGGGAAAAGTTCTTATGGCACTAGGACTTTCAAAATAGTATCCCAGAAAGTATCTTATGTAGGGCCATAAGTTGGGTAAAATCCTTGGATATGTTTTCCACCTACACTTTCGATGACACAAGGAGAAATTGGGAACAACTAGCTTAAAGTTCCACAATCAGAAGCAAGCCGGTGGTGGATTGGAAGCCTCCTGATGCAGGCGTCATTAAACTAAATTTTGATGGTAGTAGTTTGGGCAACCCAGGGCCATCTGGAATAGGGGGTCTTTAGAAATGATGAGGGTCAGATTGTAGCTCTATTTTCTGGTCCTATAGGGTGGGGAGACTCTGTGAATGCAGAACTCCAAGCTGTGTTACAAGGAGCAGAATATGCAARAGAGTTGGCAGTGGAGCATTTAATGATTGAAGGTGATTCCAAATTGGTTATTGGATGGCTAAAAGAACCAGAGACGGCAGCCTGGCCGTACAGGGGGTCTTTGAGAAGATTTAAGTGGCTGACTTCAAATATTTCAGTCACAGTTCAATGGGAAGAAGATCGGCAAATGGGCTGGCAGACCTTCTAGCTAAACAAGGAGTACATAGGAATCAGCTCTTTTGGGCTCAATTGTAAGCTTTATGTAGTTTGGAGGCTGCACCTCGCGCCTCTTTGTGGGGAACTGTATGATGATAACTTGGTTCTTTATTTAATAAAATTTTCTTTATCATTATCTATCAAAAAAAAAAAAAGTTTTAGTGAAGGGTCCGAATCAGTTCTTGTTGACAGAAGGGAGGAAAATATGGAGAGGTTGGAAGGAGAGGAGTGGAAGAGGATTAGAAAATCCTAAGGCTGCAAGTGATGAGGAGGATAGTATGGGGGAGGAGCTGGAAAAGAATGGCTTGATAAATATGCAGAGGAAAGGGAAGAAAATGAAGAGATTTTAGTAAATGAAACAAGGGTCTACCAGAGGAGAAAATGCAGAATGGCTCCTTTAGAGGATGGATCGGAAATAGAAAAAAAATGATGAAGATTAGGTCGTGCTAGATGAGATTCATGAAGTTGAAAGAACAGACGATTTGGAAACGGTGATCAGCAAAGAGGTGGTGGTAAGTAAAAGGCTGGAATTATTCTTCTTGGGTGGAGAGGATTTTGCTAGAAAAGCTTTCTTGGATGTGGAAGATGATCCAGGTGGGCTTTCGAAGGCCAGTAAGGACATAACTAAGTGCAGAGGTTCCTACTCTGGGGGGGGGATGACAGATTTCAGAGAGGAGCAAAATCTTGGCAATATAAGGGAGGTTGTTTGACAGCAGAGCAAGTGTTTGAGAAGAACACAGTCTTGGAGCTTGAAAGGGTGAATGAGAGTAATGGAGATAAAAGGATCGGTGAGGGTCATACTAATGCAGTTAAAAGATTTAGGCATAAAAATTCAACAGATCTGTGCCAGTTTTGAAGGTGTTTGCTAGATTGAAAGGGGGTCTATTTGGGGTTGGAATCAACAAGAGTGTCAAGAAGACAAAAAGAATTGTAAAGAAAAAGCAAGAGAATCCTAACGCTGCTGTTGCAGGTTTGGGGTGAGCGAATTTTGTTTTCTTTTGGGTTGGAGACTAAGTTTGAGTGGTCTGTCAGGTTGGGTCTCAAGTGTTGGGTTGGTTTGTTGTTCAATTTGGTTTTTGCAATGGGAGTGGTGTGCTTGAGGTTTAATAGGATGAGGTTATTTTGTTGCTGTTTGTGGTGATTTCCTATCACCGTTTGTATTTCTCTCTTTCTTCTTTCTTAATTTATCTTTAAAAAAAATCCTAGGGCTAATCTTTAAGTATCCTGATTAGACTGGGATTTTCAATTTTACCCGGATGGTTTCTGTTTTGAAAGAGTTTTGAAGCAGGATAAGTATTCTATAATATTTATACATATTTATTTTGAAAAATGCTTTCAAAATCGATCTCTTAGAGGTGTCCCAGTGCTATTAGAACTCTTGGCTAAATTCCTTGTGATGGTGATTTGTTCAGATAGTGATTGTTGCTTCCCAATCATATTTAAACATTGTTGTATAAGACTTATCATTTCACTTTGCATGAAAGGACGTATGTGATAATTTTCAGAACTTAATTGCAATGTATTGTTGGACTTCTTTGTGATTTTAGAATGTCTTTTTAATTGTGCAGCATTAAATTCTAAATTTTCTGCAAAACATTTCTAGGTGTACAATCAAATTGTGCTGAGTAAGCTTACTATGTATTATTGATAAAAAAAGAAATAAGCTTACTATGGATTAATCTCATGTTCCAGAAAGGAAAGCCCGGGTCAATGCTGCATGGGAGCAAATGAATAAGGGGCTATCAGTTAAAATTCCCAAATCATTTCCACCGCAGCCGTCAGGTGTGAAGATGATGCCACAGAAGGCCTCTCCTGTAAGGAAATTGTCCTCTTATTATGGTTACTATCTGAATATCTGTTAGAAATGAATGTTGAAATAATAGTTTGCTGGGGTATTATTTTAACCTTGATCATGTTTTATAGAATTGGATGACTGCTCTGGGCCTAGCACCTAAAAAAGATGCATCATCAGGGAAAGATGTTCAACAGAAGAAACCTAGTGTTTTACAGAATGGCACAAATGAAGAAGCAAAAAAGATCGCTGCTGCTGCTTTAGCTGCAGTTAAGGACGCTGCGGCTGCAGCTGCAGGCAGGGGGAAGGTAGAGGTAAACACCAGACTCTTAACTTGGAATTATAATGATCTTAATTTCAAATTATTTAGTTTCTTTATGACATAAATGGCCAAATTTGCACATCACTGTTATGATTAAATTTAAAGTTAAGATTGCATTATGATTCAAGGGTGGATAAGAAAAATTGACATTTCAAAAATATGGCCAATTTAAATGATCATTGATTTAAGTTCCAACATTTGGACAAATTTTTCAAAATTTGTTTCTAATTTTTTTACCAGAATGATATTGACATTGAATGCAAGGTCTAAAACCTTGTTGCACATTGAAATTGTCTGACAAAAATTTTATCTTGCCAAAATTTATGGTGATGACGAGCCTCCCTAGAAATTGATGCTACAAAAGAAGTAAAACCATGTCACCTATAGTTCCCGTCTGATTAACAGCAATGGTTTTACTAGTTTTTCAATTGGTTCCCATATTATTGGAGGTGGTCACAATTTAGACTATGTATACACGCAAATGGTTTTACATCAAATAGATTTTGAATCTGTTAAGACTTTTTCATGCTACATCTTTTTAACTGCAAGACTATGTACACTTCATGGTGTACAAGCAATCAGTGCAACAATGGAGAACCTATCGTACACTGGTTACTTGTACATCTGTACTGTATCAAACAACTTATGGTCCATCCACGTGATCTACATCTTTTTAACTGCAAGACTATTTTAATACATTGATTTTCAAGCCTATGCTAATTGACTTCTAGATGAAAAAAATACTGTAAATTGCCCTTTCTATTATAATATCATGTTTTTTGCTAAATAGTTGTTACAAGCATGTTATTAGTTATGGAAAACCTGTTAATCTGGGCTTGGACTTGTAACCTCGAGAATTAGGGTCAGCAAACAATGAGTATGACCACATTAATTTAGGCTGTGTTTGGTTTAAAGGAAAAAATAGGGAAAGGAAGCCACCTTTCCCTACCTTTTCCTTCAAACCAAACATAGCCTCGAGGTTTCTTACAGGAATGGTTAATATGCTTTCCCATTTGGGAACATATGAGATATCAGCAGGTGTAAATTTATCAATGCCTTCCCAACTGGATTGTTGGCTTGTTGCAGAGAAGAGATAATGTTAACATATTGGTTGAAATATATGGATTTTGTTTGCTCCAAATTATTGGGATATGGCTTTCTTGGGCTCAGTATATATGCATCTTTCAATTGTAGTCTACAAATATTTAGTGGTTTGCATGCATCTACCAAGTCGCCATGCTTGTGTATGATCTACCAATTCATCTAGAAACACAAAGTGTAACAATTTTCCATCAACTTTTGATCGATGAAACAGATCACCGAAGTTCGAGAATTTGCAGGTGAAGAGATTGAGGTGAAGAAACTTATTGATGCTAACTCAAAGGAAGCAGCTGAAAAGGCGAAAGCTCCGGTTGGACCACCATCTGCTGTTGATGCTGTTCTTGAACAAATAAAAAAGAAACCAAAGCTCAGCGTGCTTGACAAAACAAAAAAGGATTGGGGAGAATTCAAGGAAGAGAACAAGGGGTTGGAAGAGGAGTTGGATGCCTACAAGAAGAGCTCGAACCAGTATCTTGAGAAGGTTTCCTTCTTGCAGAGGACGGACCTACGGGAATTTGAACGGGAAAGGGATGCACGTCTAGCTTTACAGTCGAAGAGAAAGCCAGATATGAGAGAAGAACCATAGCCAGCCAAGCCTCTTAGTTCGCTTTCTGATCGTACAGCCGTAACTAATGATGAAAGGAAAGGAAAGCCGTAGTAGGGAGTTGGAGAAAGAGCCCTTGTGTTGTGGATGGGACTGCACTGTTCATGTTCTATAATGGGGGTATGGGGAAGCATACCATAAAATTGTTTTCAAATTATTTTGTTCCCTTCTTGCAATTCATTATTAACGATCAGAGGAATGAAATGAGAGGGAATCAGGGAATTGTTCATCTTGGTCCTCGGTCTTGCTCTTTAGTTCTACTTTTTACTTTGCGTTGAACATGTTTCATTTTCAATGGTGCAGTTCGTGCACCACAAATTTTCCCTTTTGTGAAACTCTCAGACTGTAAGAGGTTTGAGACTGCCAAATAAGCGTATGGATTATGGATAAAGACTTAACAAAGCGCTTTCTTTGTGAAAGGACGACTTTGGATTTTGGATTGGGCGGAATTTCTTCTTGTCCCAAACTCGCAATCCAAATATAGTTAAAAGGAACGAAGAAAAGAAATTACGCTGAAGGATGCAAATAGCGTCTCTTTGTCCCATTCGAATCTCAAATTCAGTGAATTATATAATCTCCTACGTTTTCTAAAGTCAATTTTTAATGTGAAATTGTCTAAAACTCACCATGAGTTTTCAGACAACTTTTCAAAATGTCTAAAACTCACAATGTCACTAACTTGACTTTAGAAAGACTAACGGTGTTAATATATTACCATTTTAACCTTCATGCATAAATATAAAGTATATACAAAATTAATTAATGGATGTTAATATATTACCATTTTAATATTTAGATATGAAAAAAGGAAAAAATTCAAAAAATATTTTCAAATATAAAATACATAAAGACATAGGAATTACAAAAAATATAAAAAATTATAAAAATTGCAAACAAAATAAAAAATTATTTTCAAATTATAGAAACTATAGAAATTGAAAAGCAAAATCAGAAAATAAAACTTGTAGAAAAAACACCAAAAATTATAGAAAAACACAAAAATTGCAAATAAATAACAAACAATACAAGAAAATTTATAGATTGTAGAAAATAGAAAAATATAAAAAATATTGGAAATTATAACAAAACATGTGATGATGAGTTTTAGATAATTTTCTTTTCTTAGTTCATTTTATCAATGATACATGATGTTCGGCAATTCCTAACAGATCAAACGTATCGGCTTTAAACGTCGACAGAAGGGTAAGGACATGGAGGATCCTCCATGAAGGTGTGAAGCGAAAAACAAGGGTTAAGTGTTATAAGAGCCTGTCTGTGACAATGAAGATGTGAACCGAAAAACAAGGGTAAGTGTTATAAGAGCCTGTCCGTGACAATGAAGGTGTGAACCGAAAAACAAGGTTCAGTGTTAAAAGAGCCTGTCCGTGACCATGATAGCGTGAACTGAAAACAAGGGGTTACGCCGTACGGGTACCCAGCGATACCCTCGAAACGTATCGGCTCGATGATATAAAGCATTTGGAAAACATTTTTTGTCTTACTCATCCGATACGTAAAGTCGAGAATTCAGTTTCTGGTGTCGGACCACCGGCTGCACTTTGTATCTTATTATTATCTGTTCACTCTCTCTCTCGACCATGTCTGCTGCAGCAGTCCCTTTCATTTCAAGCCCGACCTCACTTCCACACTTCAGAATAACGAGAAATGGGTTTCTGCTAAATGCCATTTCAACTTGCAGGGGCTCTTCAAGATCTTCTCTCGGTGAACTTTTCTTCAGGAATTCGTATGGGGTCAAGAGAAATTCGATCTTCACTGGCGTCAGACCTTTCTCCCCTGTTATGGAATGGCAAGATTGCACGTAAAGACCTAAACTCACAAGAGAAAATCTCTTTTAGCTTTTTTATTTGTTTCTTTGTTACAACTTTTGTGATCGAACCAGAAACCATTGTTTCCTTTATAGGGTCTTATTCAGTCGGATTGAATCATTAATCACAAGGCATTCTATGTTACAATTATGATTTCTAGACTCCTAGTGTTTTCTATAGATTAACACTTGCGCCTGGCTGCCAATCTTCATTTCTGAGCTGGAATTGTTAATGACAATCGTCAATCATAGAGCATCTTTTGTTGATTTTTGGTTGTTAGGGGCCAGTTTTTGATTTATTAGTGGGATTCCTATTTCTAAATACTAGCACTTCCTCATTCCTGTAAAGAAACATTCATTTTTTTATCCTTAGTTTATGGATAAATACCAATTTCTGTTTGCTTATTCCGAGAATTGATCTTCTCGACCAGCAAACTATTTCTTTGTTGATTATCTGCCTAGAGACCCCTTTTTGATCTGAAATGCCATTCTGTTAAATTTTGGGGGTGGTCTTTCGTGGCCAGTTAATTGTATATTTTCTTGGATGTTCGTTTTTATTATTATTATTATTATTATTATTATTTTTTTTTTTTTTTGATGAATTCGTTCTTCTTTTCAATATGTTCTGCTCTCGTTGCTGAGTTCGTTATTTTTTTCCTGTTAACTTTCACATTGGAAAAGAGACTGATTATCTAGAGCTGTCTGAGAAGCTGAACTCCTAAAGGTTGTGCAGATCATCCGAAAAGGTTTCTAGATATCAGGGGGGAAAAACTTTTGTTGAAGCCTTGAAGGAGTGGAGGGCTCCTTCCAGCAGTGAATTAAAAAAACCACATTGCCCTGTTCGACAGAATCTTTAATTCTACATGATAACATGAGTTACTTGGCTGTGCTTTCTCACCAGCACAAGGTCCTCACTCATTCAGCAAAGGACTAAAAGTGGACTCCAGGATCTCATAATGGCCAAGTTGTCTTTGTATATCATCCAAATCATTGTAATCAGATCCTTATCGTTCATTGAATACTGCTCAAAGATATTTCTTAGAAATCTGTTGTGCATTTTTGTCAGTTGATATTCTTTACTGATAATAATTTATTCAATATTATGTGCAATGGATGATGTTTCTGAATGCTATACTTGTCTGGGAATGGTCCCACCATGTTAATTTCTTTGTGATCAGGTTCCGTTTTGATTCCATGTTTTCTTACTTACTAGATTTAACTAGAAAAATGTAAATGCAGGGCTAAGCTGGAAATTGATGTCCCTTGTTCGGTTGCATATAATTGTTACTTAGATCGTGAAGCCATTCCCCGTTGGATGCCTTTCATATCATCTGTCAAGGTGTGCACAGTTAATGGCTTTTTTAACTTGCACCATGTATCAATATTGTTTGAACTTCATTTGAAACGTTTGAGAATTCTATAATTTTAGAATGAGCAGAATAATGTCCTAATTTTTTTTTTTTACAATAATATTCCCTTGCTTGACTGAATATGCAGTTTCACCACTTCACTTGATTACTTGATGCTCATCTCTCTAGATTTTGTTTGTCTCCCTCCTGGATATTTTTTATGGGGCTGTCAAAGGACTCTGAAAATCCAATATCCGATCTGATTATTCGAATTTGGATGTATATTATATAATGTTCTCTCTCTTTCTCTCTCTCTCTCTCTCTCTCTCTCTCTATCTATCTATCTATCTATCTATATATATATATATATACACATTTTTATGTATGTATAAGTTAAATGATATATATATTTTTTTAATTTGTCATTATTTTAACAATAATAAAACAGTCTGAGTCTGATATTTAGGATTGCAGATCGGATTTGGATTTGGAATTTCAGTAATTGGATTGGATTCGGATTTAGCTGAATCTGATCCATATCTCTTCTTTATTTAAGCCAAGTATAAATAGTAGATTTCATTAAAAGTCTTTTAAGACAGGGTATTGCAGTATTAGTGCTTCCACTGGGAACCAATTTGCTGTGTTACTCAATTCAGCTTTGATGCAAGTGAAGTTGGGTTTAACATGAGAAAGAAGACAATAATAGCAATACCCTGTAGTCGTAAAAGATTTCTAAGACTAGATCAATGAGAAAAGCAAGAAGCATTTATTTGGCCAATACCAAAGTGTTGTTCAATGAGAAAAGAAAGAAGCATTTTGATAAGGGGGAGGGGGGTTGTAAAAAACCAATTTAGATATTTCCATATACTTTGGTTTACCTTGCCCCTATGACACTCCAATTTGATCATCTGTTTAAAACAGCTTAATTTTCCTAGCCAGAAATTTAGCAAAATACTATCTTGAAATGTTAGTTTTGACGTTAAAAAGCATGATGTTTTCCTCAATTTTCTCATCCATTTTTGTGTTTTAGTCAAGAAAGATCACATCTGAAAATCTATAGTTGGAAATACAGTGAATGTCTAACTAACAATATCTCATGAGGGTGATATGAAATGAGCACCCCTTGTTTCAAAAGGTTCAAATGTATCTCTTCGTGGTAGCAAAGCAAATTTTAGATGCTTAATGCCAAATGATTTATCTTTATGTCAGGAAACTTCGTTTTTTTTAACCCATTTCCTTCCCTTTGGAGTGCTCCTTTGGTCGGGCATCTGTGTTTTTTCTTTATGGAAACTTTTTGTAAGCACGAAAACTGTTTATTGAATGAATGTTAGAAAATCTGATGGGGTGAAACATTACAGGTTTTAGAGGATAAGCCCGATCTATCACGCTGGTCACTGAAGTATAAAGCATTTGGTCGTGACATTGAATTTTCTTGGCTGGCTCGAAACCTTCAGGTGAGAGCTGGGAACCTTATCTAAATGTTTTTATGATGTTTTTTGTTTTAAAGTCAAACTATCTTACCTTGCTTGCAGCCTATTCCAAATCAGAAAATCCACTGGCGATCTCTAGAAGGTCTTCCAAACAGGTACTACAAGTATGGTAGGCAATCTTTTGCCTATGAAAGAGACTCCCTCTATTAGGAATTTTCCCAAAGAGATGTATATGTTAGCATCATACAAACTAAAAGAATAAGACACTCGTACTGTTTTTAGTATTCACCTACAGTAAATTCAAACGAGACAAACTAAAAGTGACCAATTTTGGGCTTCCATTCACCTCTTGCTAGGTGGTAATCATGACTGACTTTTTGATCCGCATTGTTTGTACATAAGAAACTGATGGTACCAGCTTGCTCAGTTGGTACACCATCAAAGCAATTCCATCAAGAATAAAAATTGGATTCTGCATGCACCATAGCACCTTGGTATGGGAGCATCTGTATGTTCCTATACTTTTTAGAATACAATAAACTTAAGTACTCATCTTGTGTGCATTGCAGAAATATATAGGATAATTATATTAAAGAAGCAAAAGAGGCATAAACTAAGTACATTGCAACAATATATAAGAATGCCCTAAAACCAGCAACTATATGGTTGTACAAAAAGCATAGATTTGTATGCGGGACACCTATTTAGTGAAAATGAAAAAGAAACAGTTTTTTACTGATACCACTCAGTAATTGTGGATTATCGGTTGGTCTCAGCTAAGAAAGATATATTAGGACATGTATGATTGTGTACTTCACTGTTTTTTTTTTCATTGGACCAGTCTTACGATAGAGTTTTGATGAACCTTTCCTTTCACTTGGCAGAGGAGCAGTTCGGTTTTATCCCAGAGGTCCTTCATCGTGCACTGTAGAAGTGAGACTGGTTATATAGCATTGGTTTCTATATTTATCATATCACCCCATCATATCTGTTTGTGAAATGGTTATCTGAATCGAATTTATGCTTTGTCTTTTTTACTCGCTTGGCCTGACAAGTGTGAGAATGTGGGTTTGAGTCTGAGGAGTGGTCACTTTATGCACAAAAAAAAAAAAAGCCAAAGGTTAGGTCCGTATCCAGTTTCTGAAGACCATGATTTGTTGGGACCAACATTGGGTAGAGGCCCTTGTAATACACACACACACACATATTGGATAAGAGGTAACCAATCTCTGCATTGTAATATCGCATTGATCTCTTACTTCGTGCCTACCAATTGAACATTTATGACTACAAATGGAACTTGTACAAGCAACAATGAGTTACATGAGGGAGTAGTCATGATGTCATTTCCTCTTCTTTTCCTGTGGTTCAGTTTGAAAAAGAGGGCCTTACTTGTGTAAATTTTCCATTTCAGCTAACTGTTTCATATGAAGTTCCTCAAATTCTAATTCCAGTGGCATCGGTAAGTTAGCCAGGATATCCTGTAGAGATTACACATATTACATTAAATGGGCATTTTATTTCACTTTTCTGAATAGATAACATTTTCAATTGAAAAGCTTTAATCGTGCTTAAAAGCATAAAATTCTAAAAGAACAAAATGCTTTTCATGTTTGTGTTTTTGGTTCAGGCATTGCAACCCTTTCTTGAGGGCTTGCTCTTACGTGGTTTGGAGCAATTCGCGAAAGTTGCAAAAGGCTATTAAACAAACTGGAGTCTTGATTATGTACGTTACTTATTTTTTAACTGATAAATGAATTCTATCACAGTTGCCTGCTTCTGTGTGAAATTTACTCCTTTAGTTGCCTATGTGGTTTGGAGTGGTTTGCAGCAGTTGCAGAATGCTGTTAAACAACATGAGTTCTGAAGACCTGAAGGCTATACATGATGTGCAAGCCACACAATTGATATGTTACTCCATTGATTATGTACGGTGTATCTTGTTTAATACTTTAATTGATGAAAAAATTATTTCACTTTTATCTGTCCAGTGTGATGTAAGGGGGAATGAAATAACTAAAAAGGAGCTAAGAGTCATACATCCCTTTATTTTCATCCGGATCTTAACCAACTTTTGTTTCTATCATCTAGTTTTCATGCTGACCCCATGAAGATCAATATGACATTGAAATTTTAGATGGCATTTGGGAATTCTGAAGCCAACCTTCAAGGTCTGATTAGATCTTAATTTAGATTAGAGTGATAAATTGAGATAAGAGCCTATTTTAGGTGGCTGAGATAAACTTAGTTGTATATTTTTTACCACATTCAATTTTCACTGCACCTAGGTTTAACTCCATTGTTGACCCAATGGTCAAACTATTCGGACTGTCAGGGTGTCATCCAATCGACTTTCTGGGCCCGGTTCTTATAAAACCCAGTATTGCTCCAAAAACCATTGAAAAGTCAATAGAACTGTTGAACTAGGTCGCGAGCACATATTGTGCAAGAAACTTCGGGAGGTCAAAATTTTGTTCTTTGATGTCTGATTGAGATAATTTTTTTTTTGGTAACTTTTCGAGATCTATATGTCCCTGCTATTTTCATGAAAAAACCATTTTTTGACCTCAAATTACAATTTTTAATATTTTTATACATAAAAATTGAAAATGAATTAAAAAACATAAATTAAATATAAAATAATACATATATCATATCTAAAATATAATTGTATATTATTTATTGATAAAATCGAACTGAATGATCGAACTGGTAACCCATGACCCAGAGGCAAAAACAGTCCGGCCTCCATGTCCGTTTTTAAAACATTGGTCAGAAGATCAAGACTCTTCATTGGATGTGTCATGTCATTGCTTAAGAAGGCCTAAAAAATAAATATTCTCTCTTTAGATTAGAGTATTAGACCATATTTTTCTGCATCTTTTCTAGGGCATAGAGTTTAAATAGAACTATTTCACTAATTTCTAAATATTTTATTTTTCAAAAACAAATATTTTGGATATTTTCGTCAGGTTAATCTTCAAGTTGGGCCAATTGAATGTGGGTCCTAATAATCCTAAATCCAAATGTAGGATGAAGGCCAACTTTAAACTGTTTCTGAAGTAGGCGCTCGAGGGAGAATGTGGATAATGTTCCAATTTCATTGGGCATTAAGTCAAAAAAATGGGGTGAAAGAGGCTCAACTCTCGACCAGGAGTTAATGTGTCAAGTCCAGTAACACTCAACAGCCTACCCCACCAAACAGGCAATTTATCCCAAGGATTGGAAAGACTTGGACTAATCAAAAACCATAATTAGTTGCATGTTTTTCCGGAATGTATAATAGTTGTAACCCGTAATATGCATACAACACCAAAACTAATAATAAAACTTGTCACGCACCCTCCACATTAACAATTCAAGATTGTTTTGTTGCCACTTGCCACCAGGATGGAAAGATAATGGCAAAAGGTCAGGGGCCGGATCCATCAGAAATCGATCGGAATCTGAGAGACTGAGACCCTTACGAATGTGGACGGAGATGGTTGTGGGTTATATATACACAAAATAAATAATATACCATGAATCAGGGCTTTTCAATATTGCCTTCCTGCTCACCAGAATTTACATCTACACAAAATGTCAAATAACAATTAAAGACTATAAAATCATAGTAATCTAACCCCCCCACACACACACACACCGTACACCACCGGCAAACCACCACCCCGGCCTACTGAATGACATATGTACATCACACCAGAAACCCACAACCAGCCCATTTCCCTACAAAACTGTAAGCTGCTTTTTCTACCGAAATCTGAAGCAGCCAGAAACAGATTGCATCCTCCACCCCACAATCGGAATTAAGGTTGCTGCTAAAATAATTATATATACACTCAACAACTGTCATTGCTATTGAGATAACTCTTCAGGCTACATAGGGCCTCAGTGGAAAGGCTGCAGCACCTCAATCTCCGCTGTCGAGGCGGTGACGGCTCCCTCTGGGAGTCCGATGGAGAGAAGCAGACAACAATCACAGTGAGGTTATCAAAGGTGTTGAGGCGGAGAGCCTCCATGACAAGATCCCTCGCACACTGCTCTGGGTCATCGTGGCGACGTAGGCCGCGACGGACAACACTGACTGCATGCTGGCTTGACATCACATCCCATATGCCATCACAACCAATGATCAGGAATTCATCATCTTCTGTGAGAACCATCTGTCGGAACTCTGGCTCCGCGATGAGTGGTGATGGCGAGCCACGAGGGACTTTCATGTCCCAGTCTCCTAGGGCCCGAGTGACAGATAGAACACCATTGAGATACCCATCATCGATATACCCACCCAACTCCTCCACCCGCCTGCGTTCTGATGGGTAAATGGGCTTATGGTCTTGGGACATCTCGATAGCCTCTCCTCCCCGGCAGAGAACTGCTCGGCAGTCACCAGCATTGGCCACTATTAAAAGCCTGCAACAATCACAGACGWAAGTTAGAGACGACAACAAAACTAGATCAAACTTCCACCCTCGTGAAGATTGCAGTCTTCATATTTTCTTTGTTTTTCACCCAGAATACTATATGGTAAGACTGTTTGCCAACCAAAGAAGATCCTAAATGTCTGAACTCCAACTAGCATAGTTYTTCTTTAGGGTTTTGTRGAAGCTTAGTTTCGGATTTATTGCTTCATCATAATATTTGACAATTTCTGAAACTGAAGAATGAACGGCAATTTCAGAAATTGAGTGTTTTCCCAATTTCTGAGCATATATCAGTTAATGTKGCAGCTGTTTTGTTTTGGAAAACAAAAGCATGCATATTGGCAAACATGCCCCGAGTGTATCAATAGTACAAAAATCATTGTTCTTAGCTCAAACTAACCTTCCAAGTATAAGAGCAGTAAGTGCAGTTGTCCCGGAGGAACTGCTAACAGTACATTCATCTGMCAAAGCAAGATCAGCCAGAAGAAAAGCTTTGCGTACTGAACWTTCAACCTCTTCCAAGAAAACATCATCAGCCTCTGAAGTCTGTGGGAAGTCTGCGTCTTCAAAAAATAATCTCATCGCATTCTTCTTGACATATGTCGCTGCATCAGGGCCTCCATGACCATCAAACACCTGCATTGTACGCCCAATTTCCATAAGTAACCAAAAAAATCTAATAAAAGGGTCAGATATTATGACAAGGAATAAATACTTACCCCGTAAAATGCACTTGGCTTGGGGCAATGGAAAAGTGACCCCAAATGCGCCGATAGGTCATCAATACGTATATGTTCATCTTCCATAAATCTTCTGGGCCCAATGTCGGCAAAGCTACCTGAACGTATGCTTGGGACAAATTGTATGATGGCCGACTCAAGTGTGACATTTGAAATAGCTTCCAGTGATCTCACATCCTGAAAGAGAACAAGGGAAATATGGAGGTCAAGTTTGGGAACAACTAAAATAGTTGCTTTAATCTTGAACAGAAGTTCTCCTATAAGATCCCCATGATCTGAACAATAAACAAGTAAAGGGTCTCAACCGATGGTTCTCTTGCCAACCCATTCAAGGAATCTTGTGGACAGCAAGAAGACTCTAGAACAATAGGCTCCAGGAAAACCGATATTTCTCTCTAGTTGTGATTTACACAAGTTGCTTTTCTCCTCTTCTGGTTTGAGAGTAAGAACCAAAATTACTGATCATCAAGTTCTGACTTCTGAGAGTC